CTTCCTATCAACCAGCCTGGGCACCCTTGGTGGGAGTGGAGGTGACCCCTCTATAAGGATCTACAGTCCATACACACACAGCACAAGGCCGGGGTCACACTACCAGACGCTTCTCGGGGCTGCAGTTCCTCTGAGCTCACACACGGTGGGGATCTCACTTCTACCCAGACAGGAAGTCTCTATGGAAGACAGGAAGTGATGTCAGGCACAGACAGGAAGTTCTGGGTGTCAGGTGAGGTGGGAGGAAGTAGAGAGGCGACATTGTTGGAAGTGGCAGCAGAGGAGGTAATAAGATGTTATTTCCTATTTACACCCAGTAACCCCCCCCCGTCATGTCCGTCCTCTTCCCCCCATAGTCACGTCCGTCCTCTTCCTCCATAGTCACGTCCGTCCTCTTCCTCCATAGTCACGTCCGTCCTCTTCCTCCATAGTCACGTCCGTCCTCTTCCCCCATAGTCACGTCCGTCCTCTTCCCCCATAGCCACGTCCGTCCTCTTCCCCCATAGCCACGTCCGTCCTCTTCCTCCATGGTCACGTCCGTCCTCTTCCTCCATGGTCACGTCCGTCCTCTTCCTCCATGGCCACGTCCGTCCTCTTCCCTCCATGGTCACGTCCGTCCTCTTCCTCCATGGTCACGTCCGTCCTCTTCCTCCATGGTCACGTCCGTCCTCTTCCTCCATGGTCACGTCCGTCCTCTTCCTCCATGGCCACGTCCGTCCTCTTCCTCCATGGTCACGTCACGTCCGTCCTCTTCCTCCATGGTCACGTCCGTCCTCTTCCTCCGTCACGTCCGTCCTCTTCCTCCATGGTCACGTCCGTCCTCTTCCTCCATGGTCACGTCCGTCCTCTTCCTCCATGGTCACGTCCGTCCTCTTCCTCCATGGTCACGTCTGTCCCCTTCCTCCATAGTCACTGTGACGTCTTTTATCTCCAGCAGATGATGATACACACATATATAGTGTGGGAACCCAGATTAACCCCTTCAGGGGCACAACATTCCCCCACTTCCGGGGCCGGAACATTCTCCTCATTGTGGAGATGGGTCACCTTCTTGCCTGAGCAGCACTAGTCCCCCCATATGGACTGAGCACCAGTGTCATCCCCTTGTCTCCCCACGGAGCACCAGTACCCCCCATCTCCCTGGACTTAGCACCAGCTCCCCCCCTTGTCACCACATCCTGAGCACTAGTACCCCTCATCTCCCCCCACTGAGCACCAGTGCCATCCCCTTGTCTCCCCACTGACCAAGCACCAGTACCCCTCATCTCCCCCCCTGAGCACCAGTCCCCTCACTTAGCACCAGTCCCCCCCTTGTCACAACACTGAGCACTAGTACCCCCCATCTCCCCCCACTGAGCACCAGTGCCATCCCCTTGTCTCCCCACTGAGCACCAGCTCCCCCCCTTGTCTCCCTACTGAGCACCAGTCCCCCCCTTGTCTCCCCACTGAGCATCAGTGCCCTTTGTTCTCCAACTTAGCACCACTGCCGCCCTTGTCTCCCCACTGAGCACCAGTGCCCTTTTGTCCCCCCCAGTGAGCACCAGTGGCCCCCTTTGTCTCTTCTTGCTGAGCCACCTGGGATAATGTGCAGCTCCCTGGATAATTCCTTGCACAATCTTGCCTTTGTTTCTCTTGAACCTTGAACCCTTTTCTCCTCCCATGAACATTCTACTGTTTAGCCTTGCATTTCCTGTTTGCCAGATTATAGTGCTCTCTCCATCCAGTATCTCACTCTTGTCACTCCAGCTCTGCTGTTTGTATGTTCCCTACCATTCATTGCTGATGGCCTGTTCCTCGATTACGTTTTTGCTTGATCCCAACTTGCAACCACTTGTTACCAATCTTTATCTTGTTTACTGACTCCGCTTTTGTATATCACTATCTGCTATCTATTTTGCTACTGGACCCCAGGTTGCTCACCTCCTGGTGGGCAAATCCTGAGGACTGCGACCTGGTACTGACATGTAGCAAAACCATTCTCCACCATCACAAGCTCTGGTGAAAGTACCAGGTAGGTGTTATTCCTCACACCTTGGGTAAGCCCATATCTTCTACCAGGGTGACCTGCTTCTGTACTTATCCAGCCTCTCTACGGCTATACTGGTCTCTGAACCTGACCCTTGAATGTGACACTAACATTGTACAACCAATACAGTCCATAAACAACGTAATCCCCTCATCCCTCAACAGAGAAACCAGTGTAGATCACATGACCACATCAATGAAGATGGAGGAGGACCTGAGTTACATGATGAGAAGATGCTAAACCTAACCCTAGAGATCATCTACCTTCTGACCGGAAAGGTGAGGAGGATTCTGGGAGATCAAATGACATCACTCTTATCTATAATAATAAAACACAGACCGGAGAGGTGAGGAGGATTCTGGGAGGTCACATGACATCACTCTTATCTATAATAATAAAACACAGACCTGACCGGAGAGGTGAGGAGGATTCTGGAGATATCTGGAGGTCACATCTGACATCACTCTTATCTCTATATAATAAACACACAGACTGACTCGGAGAGGTGAGGAGGATTCTGGGAGGTCACATGACATCACTCATCTCTATTAATAAAACACAGACCTGACCGGAGAGGTGAGGAGGATTCTGGGAGGTCACATGACATCACTCTCATCTCTATTAAAAAAAACACAGACCTGACCAGAGAGGTGAGGAGGATTCTGGGAGGTCTCATGACATCACTCTTATCAAATCTCTATTAATAAAAACAGACCTGACCGGAGAGGTGAGGAGGATTCTGGGAGCTCACACACATTCATCACTCTTATCTCTATTAATAAAACATAGACCTGACCGGAGAGGTGAGGAGGATTCTGGGAGGTCACATGACATCACTCTTATCTCTATTAATAAAACACAGACCTGACTGAGAGGTGAGGAGGATTCTGGGAGGTCACATGACATCACTCTTATCTCTATTAATAAAACATAGACCTGACCGGAGAGGTGAGGAGGATTCTGGGAGGTCACATGACATCACTCTTATCTCTATTAATAAAACACAGACCTGACCGGAGAGGTGAGGAGGATTCTGGGATTCTAACATGATATTCCTATTGGTTCCTCAATACAGAGATTTCCTCTTCTGAAGTCAGGTGATCATATGACCATCACAGTGCCTCCATGTGACTCCCTAAAACCTGAAAGACACAAAATGCAGAAGATTCTAGAAGTCACCAAGAAGATGATGGAGCTGCTGACAGGAGAGGTGAGCGGTGCGGGAATTCTGGGACATTCTCCAGTAACAGACAAGGGATGTGTCTGGATGGTGACTGTATCATTGTGTGTGTCAGGTTCCTATAAGGTGTCAGGGTGTCACTGTCTATTTCTCCATGGAGGAGTGGGAGTATTTAGAAGGACACAAGGATCTCTACAAGGACGTCATGATGGACAATCAGCCGCCCCTCACATCACCGGGTAAGAGGAGACTTTATTGTAAAGGAGAGAGCAGTACGGAGGATCCACCTAGATCCCCCATCATCTGATAAACACATAGAAACAATGGATTCAGTCAGTGTGTGTGTTTCCTACAGATGGATCCAGTCATGGGAACCCACCAGAGAGATGTCCCCGTCCTCTGTATTCCCGGGATTCCACACAGGAAGGTCACACCATCCCTCACCATCATCAGGTAGATGGATCCAGTCATGGGAACCCACATGTCCTCGTCCTCTGTATTCCCAGGATTCCACACAGGAAGATCACAATTACATAAAACTGTATTGATCAGGTAGCTGATGAACAATTATTATTGGTAGTTGTGATTTATACACAGCATTTGTTACAATGAATGTTTATTATATATTCAGAGTGGAATCCTCGGGGATGATAATATTGTTGTTAAAGAAGAGTATAAAGAGGAGGATGAGGAGTATGGAGTGATGGAGGAGTTTTCAGAAGGACACAAGGATATGATGGAGCCACCTAATACCAGGAACCCACCAGAGAGATGTCCCCGTCCTCTGTATTCCCGGGATTCCACACAGGAAGATCACACCATCCCTCACTATTACAAGGTTGGTGGAATGAGATATCTAGAAATATGGACTATTGGAGAAGATGATTTTTGTGGATATTAATTCAAAATGAGCTTATGTTTTACAGATGACCTTTTCTATCATTCTCTTGGTTTAGGGTGAAGATCTGATAGATATAAAAGTTGAGGTGAAAGCAGAAGAAGAAGAGGCGTATGTGAGGGATGATCAGCAGTCTATGGAGGAGGATGGAATAACGGGGACATTTATAGAGGAGGACACTCCTACAGAGATCAGCACAGGTGGGTCATGAACACTAAATCCATTCCTCCACCCATACTGCTCACTGATTGGTCCAGAGTAGGGCGGGGACTGGGTGATATCAGCCTGTAATCCCCTGGTCACTTTCCTGAGCTGTGTTCCCCGTCCTGTATTCCTGGATTTCTCTCGGATAATCTTCCTTCTCTGTGCTGCAGACACAATTTATGGATCTAGACTGGATTTATGGAGATTCTGGGGTTCAGCTGGCAGCAAAATGTGGATTTTCACCATAGATCTTCTTCAACTTGGTTCCGCAGGATGTGCTTTGAGTCTTCTGTCCCATGCACAGGTCTTCATCAAAGCAATTCTCCCAGGGTTACTTGCTTGCTTGCTTGTTTGCTGGCTGTGCTGGGCGGAGGGAGGGATATGTTTGTATAAACAAAGCTGCCTGATGTGGGCGGAGTCCTGGTTTGGGGGAACCAATCAGCTCCTGTCTAGTAATCCTCTTTGTCTTTGTATTTTAGTCCATGACCGGGAGATGAGGAAAACCTCCGAGGATTGTCTCACTTTGTCTCCAGACTGGAAAGTAGAAGATGAGGACATCACACAGTATAGTCCAGGAGAAAACCCGGCTCCCTCCAATGTCCATCCGACACCACCCAGTGTAGATGGACCATCGGATTCCTCGTATCCTGAGGAACCTCAGACTGTGCGGGACCGGGCCGGCCTTCCAACAGAGAAGAGGTTTTTCTGTCCTGAGTGCGGGAAGGGTTTCCGTTTTAAATCCAATCTTAATGTGCATAAAAGATCTCACACGGGGGAGAAGCCGTATTTCTGTTCTGAATGTGGGAAATATTTTTCACAGAAGTCCCATTTTAACAGACATCAGAAGTCTCACTTGGGCGAGAAGCCATATTCCTGTCCAGAGTGCGGGAAATGCTTTTCAAGGAAGTCTACTCTCTACATACACCAAAGATCACACACTGGCGAGAAGCCGTATTCCTGTTCAGAGTGCGGGAAATGTTTTTCAGACAAGTCCTCTCTTTCCACACATCAGAGATTGCACATAGCGGAGAAGCTGTATTCCTGTCCTGAGTGCGGAAAATATTTTTCAGTGAAGTCCAATCTTTACAAACATCTTAGATTACACACGGGAGAGAATCTGTTTTCCTGTTCTTGGTGTGGGAAATGGTTTTGTAAAAAAATCAAAGCTTGTCAGACATCAGAGGTCTCATACGGGGGAAAAATCATATTCCTGTCCTGAGTGTGGGAAATGTTTTGTACAAACATCAGATCTTGTCAGGCATCAAAGAACTCACACTGGGGAAAAGCCATATTCTTGTCCTGAGTGCGGGAAAGGTTTTTCAGTGAAGTCCTCTCTTTACAAACATCAGAGATTGCACACAGGTGAGAAGCCATATTCCTGTCCTGAGTGCGGGAAATGTTTTTCAGGGAAGTCCAATCTTTACAGACATCAAGGATTGCACATGGGGCAGAAGCTCTGAGTGAGAGAAATTTTTACTAACTGAAGTCCTGTCTTCCTGTACATCAGGGGTCCAACACAACCCTGGAGGTGTATTAGTGCCTTGAGTGCGGGAAATGACTTCTAGATGAATGTTGCTGGACATCCCAGCTCTCGTGGGGAAGAAGCACACCCTGATATACACCTCAGATATACTCCATGGCTGATCTTCATCATGGAAGAAACAGTTTATAAAGAGATCCAAGGTCACCAAAGACATGGATGAAGTGTGGGACCAGGTTGGCCACTGATAGCAGGAGAAGAATAAAAATGGAGTCATCACCTTTCATTAGCTGAGTACATTTTGTGGTGGGAGATTTCACAAACACTTAGAGGTCTGTTTTTAAAAACGTTCAACCCAGGTATGATGAATGTTGTTCATATTTTATTTCATAAACTGATTTCCTATTACTGTTGGCTCCATCTTATGGCCATAATGTAGTATATATTATTTTTGCTGGAGGTATTTTATGGAAAAACCACGTTATAGTAAATAGATGGAGCTGATAATCATAGGAAATCACTTTGTTACTTAAATTACGGTCAGAATTTGTAATAAGGGGGAAAATGCTATTCACATTTGTCTAACTAATTTTTTAGGAATAGAGCCCTTAGTTTCCTCCATTAGACATGGTTTCATATATGGGTTCAAGTAACTGAGATCATAGCCATGCACTTATTGCTACAGTAGACATTGTAGAACAATGTAGCATTCTTCCATCTGTTAAAATGCACAAATTTGGCCTGAAGATTAGTTAAAACCCCCAAACATATATTTTCTGAAAGCAAAGGCCATGGAGAACATAATGGTAGTAGTTACATTTTCTTTATATCAGATGATGTTAGCGCAAAAGTTTATCAAGGATAAAGAACAGTAAAAAAAGTTCACCAGATATACACTATATTGCCAAAAGTATTGTCCCCACACTCCAAATCATTGTATTCAGGTGTTCCAATCCCCTCCATGACCACAGGTGTATAAAATCATCAGCTAAGCATGCAGACTGCTTCTACAAACATTGGTGAAAGAATGGGTCGCTCTCAGGAGCTCAGTGACTCCAAGCGTGGTCCCGTGATAGGTTGTCACCTGTGCAATAAGTCCATCCGTGACATTTCCTGGCTACTAAATATTCCACGCTCAACTGTTAGTGGGATTATAACAAAGTGGAAGCAACTGGGAACAACAGCAACTCAGCCACCAAGTGGTAGGCCACGTCACATGACAGGGCGGGGTCAGCGCATGCTGAAACGCACAGTGCGCAGAAGTCACCAACTGTCTGCAGAGTCAATAGCTAAAGACCTCCAACTTTGGTGTGGCCTTCAGATGAGCACAACAACAGTGCGTAGAGAGCTTCATGGAATGGGTTTCCATGGCCGAGCAGCTGCATCCAAACCTTACATCACCAAATGCAATGCAAAGCGTCGGATGCCGTGGTGTAAAGCACGCCACCACTGGACTCTAGGGCAGTGGAGACGTGTTCTCTGGAGTGACCAATCACGCTTCTCTGTCTGGCAATCCGATGGATATGTCTGGGTTTGGTGGTTGCCAGGAGAACGCTACTTGCCTGACTTCATTGTGCCAAGTGTAAAGCTTAGTGGAGGGGGGATTATGGTGTGGGGTTGTTTTTCAGGGGTTGGGCTTGACCCCCTAGTTCCAGTGAAGGGAACTCTTAAGGCAACATTTTAGACAATTTCATGCTCCCAACTGTGTGGGAAGAGTTTGGGGATGGCCCCTTCGTGCTCCAACATGACTGCACACCAGTACACAAAGCAAGGTCCATAAAGACATGGAGGAGCCAGTTTGGGGTGGAGGAACTTGACTGGCCTGCACAGAGTCCTGACCTCAACCCCATAGAACACCTTTGGGATGAATTAGAGTGGAGACTGCAAGCCAGGCCTTTTCGTCCAACATCACAAATGTGCTTCTGGAAGAATGGTCCAACCTTCCCATAGACACCCTCCTAAACCTTGTGGACGGCCTTCCCAGAAGAGTTGAAGCTGTTATAGCTGCAAAGGGCGGGGCCAACTCAATATTGAACCCTACGGACTAAGACTGGGAGGCCATTAAAGTTCATGTGTGTGTAAAGGCAGGCGGCCCAATACTTTTGGCAATATATTGTATTTTGAGTGCAGAAAAATGCAATATAATATCAGATTTTTCTGGTAAAATATAAAAGGTTTTGCCAAGTAACCAAACGTCGAGCCTTAAAATTGTGTGTGATTGTGTACAAACTTAGGTGATGCTAAAAAAAAACCAGTTTAGAGTTACTGTGAAGAATGGGCCTTGAATTATTGCTCTCACACCGGAGTGCTTGGCTATATATCATGTATGTAGCGCAATTGACATTTTTGTATGTAGGCACCCGTAACGTGCATTTACACTTGTATGTGCATGTACAAGGGGGTTAGGAAATGTGGGAGGTTAAGTGGTTTAGAGTAACTTTAACCACTTGACCACCAGAGTATTTACCCCCCTTAATGACCAGGCCTCTTTTTGCTACTCGGCGCTGCACTAATTCAACTGATAATTGCGCGGTCATGCAATGCTGCACCCAAACGAAATTTACGTAATTTTTTTCACACAAATAGAGCTTTCTTTTGGTGGTATTTGATCATCTGTGCGCTTTTTATTTTTCACACTATAAACAAAAAAAGGCCAAAAATTTTGAAGAAAAACAATATTTTTTTACTTTCAGCTATAAAAAATATATAGTGAACTCAAAGTTGGTTATAAATTTAGGCTAAAATGTATTCTGCTCCATGTTTTTGGTAAAAAAAAAATCCCAATAAGTGTATATTGATTGCTTTGTGTGAAGTTATAGCGTCTACAATCTATGGGATAGATACTGCAATTTACGCCATTTTTTTTTGCTATACAGCGCTGTGCTAGTTTAACGGGCAATTGCGCGGTCATGCAATACGGTACATAAATGAAATTTACATCCTTTTTTTCCCCACAAATTGAGCTTTCTTTCGGTGGTATTTGATCGCCTGTGCGGTTTTTATGCGCTATAAAAAAAAAGGCTGACAATTTTGAGGAAAAAAAACAATATTTTGCACTTTTTGCTATAAAACATGTCCAGTAAAAAAAAAAAATGTAAAAATCAAATTTAGTCATAAATTTCTGCCAAAATGCATTCTGCGACATGTCTTTGCTAAAAAAAAAAAACCCAATACGTGTAAATTAATTGGTTTACGTGAAAGTTATAGCGTTTACAAATGGCGGGAATGATACTGGGATTTTTAATTTTTTTTTATACTAATAATGGCGCCGATCAGTGACTTATGGCGGGACTGCGGCGGACATTCTGACACTGGGGGAGGAACTGACTTGGGGTCACTGACATCCCCAGTGACACCAATACAGTGATCAGTGCAAAAAAAAAAAACACACTGACACTGTACTAATGGCACTGGGGAGGAAGGGGTTAACTTTATTTTTCAGGGAAGGGTTATCTGTGTGAGGGGGAGTGTTTTACTAGGGGGCGGGGTGTGTACTGAAGGGAACACCGCTGATTGGGAGAGAGAAATTCTTCTGTCCCAATCAGCATGTTCTCAAGCTGTCAAGGAACTGACAGAAAGCACAGCTACTGCAGCTGTGCTCTCTGTCAGCTATTGCCGCTGATCGCCGGGTCATAGCCCGTAAGAACCGGCGACTGACATCCGCGGCTGTGATCGGCGGGACAGGCAGGGCGGCGGCATGCCTCGCGCGTGCCCCCTACCTGTTTACAAAACACACGTTTTAAAACGTGGTTTTGCCTGCCCGTGCCACCCTGCCGCCGTATTTCTACAGTGGCAGGGCGGCAAGTGGTTACTATATTAATCATATAGTACAGGACACGGACAACATCCAGTATTCATACACCATGGAATGTAGACTTGTAGCTTCAGGTGATTGGACTCTGGCAAGCTTTTTATAAGGTATTCAGCTGCTTCCTGCCAGCCTTTCACCCCTAGGATTCATTGCAGGATGGTCTACACCTACTCCTTCCAGACACACTTACCCAATCTTCTGAACCCTACTCCATGAGTACTCTACAGGGGAATACCCTCATTTGCAGCTATGGTGGAGACCAGACAAAAGGGAGCCTATTCGATAATCCGTCTTTCCCCATAGGGATACATCGACACCCTCTGGACCAAACTGACACATCGCCGTCTGACTTTAATCCTGTCTGCCGGTAACTCCTTTTTTCCAACTCTACGGTTTCTTGATCAGATTCAAATGGAACGGACCATTGGTTTTTGCAGCAACAGTTGAATTCTTTCCTTCACTCAAATGCCGATAAGCGAAAATGTACATCTCGCCCTTCTTTGTTTGAACACTGGTTAGTACTTCTGCCTGGCAGTACTCGGGTCGTTGGTTCGAATTCCAACCATGGCACCACCTGCCTGGAGTTTGCATGTTCTCCCTGTGCCTGCGTGGGTTTCCTCCGAGTACTTCACTTTCCTCCCACACTCATGCTGGAAGGTTAGTGAGTAAAACAAAATAAATACCCCAAATAAAAAGATGTGAATCTAAACATAAATAAATACAACAAAAATAAA